AATTCTGGGAGTTGAAGTCCACACATCTTCAAGCAGCCAAGGTTGAGAAACACTGCTGTAGACATTTGGAGCAGTTGAGCTGGTGCCTGAAGCAGCCCAGAACTACGACTTGAGAGGTGGCAGCCGACACTCGAATTGGGCCTGGAAGCCTGCTGCCATCAGTTCACCCTCCTCAACACATCTGTATCAGCTGCAACTTCTGGGTCGTCTCCAAAAGCAGTCCCACAGAAAGTGCATTACAGCAGCCCAGCCAGGGGTGATCCAGGTGGGAGTTTCTGCCTGCAGACCACTTGCACTGGCCCAAGTGGCCTCGTGACGGCGCAGGCATTACGGAAAGGATGCTGTGCGGCTGCCCCATGACAACCACCATGGTAACTGAATGCTCCTAAAAGATGCAGCTTAGACTACAGTTTAGGAAAGGTTTCTCAGCGCTAAAGTCTGTTTCATGAACTGGGAAAGTGGAACGTCAGCAGAACAGCTTCCACCCTACAAGGTTCCTCAGCTACTTTTCATAAGCAAGAAACCGTTGCATTAAAACACACACACACACACACACACACACACCCCAAACAGAGTACCTGGCAAACATGATCCATACGATTGAAGATTCACATAAAAAAGATGTATTTATTTATGCCCGTGGCTTGGTGTTTCCCGCAAACTGGTTCTGGGGGGGCCGAGAACTGCCTCATTACTAAATTAGCAAACACTTGACTTTTTCAACGGGGATTCAGAGTTGTGAAGGATGTTGGTATTAGGGCATAGGTGGGCGCTGCTAAGGATGTTGCTGTTAGGGTGATTTTGTAGCATTGTTGGAGGAGGAGAGATGCCTTAGTTTACGAAAGCCAAAAAATCAGAAGGCAAAACTCATGCCTGTTGATAAAATGTGTTAGGCAGAGAAGGCGTTAGTCAGACGCCTTCTGATTTATAGCCCTGTTGTTTGTTAATATCACATGCACTGTAAGAATTATCTATACTGATTTTATACACTGTTTAGATTTAGGTTTTGACTGAAGCCTAAAAGCACTTGCAATAATAAATAGGTAAGTAAATTAGTAAATAAATAAGTCCCTCTCTCCCAGGCCTAGGAAGCAGGCAAGGGCAAACCGCTTCCGAAAAACCTTGCCAAGGAAACTGCAGGGACCAGTCCAGGTGGTTACCAGGAGTCAACACTGACTCAAAGACGCACACACACACACACAAAGTAAATAGAAATACTGCCATCCTGACCAGGAGCTGTTGATTGTGTGTGTGTGCGCACGCGCATGCTCTTTTTATAATCCTGCTAGATCATTCATGACCCTGAAGCAGGTTTGACGGTGACACTGCATTGCACAGTCGGTCACATGAGTAATCCACAAACAAGCTTCCCCCCACATTTCCCCTCCACCCCCCCACTCCACCCCGCTGGGTCCTCTGAAATGCCCTTCCTTCCGTGCTGTGTTTTTAACAACCTTTTGACCAGCCTGTTCCCCCCTTCTCCTGATAGGGCATATTTTATTGTGGATTTTTAAAAAAATCAGTACTGAAATTGCAATCGTTTTATGACCTATCGTGCCTCATGTTGTGTTTGTCTATGGCTTATTTTAAAGATAAGAGGGGTTTTAAAGGAAAAAAAAGCAGTGAAAACAAACAGAGCCACACAATTCATTTTTCCAACCGTCTCTGAGCCTTAGAAACAGGGATGAAGTGGCGTTCTGGGCTAAATTCCATCTAGCCTTCATCCTGCTTTGCAAGAGGCGAAGGCAAACTTTGCTTCTCACCTTGCTAGAAAAAGGCCTGTTGCTCTGGCTGCTGGGACTTTTTTTGGGGTGGGGGGGGAGAATTCAATTCAGCCCAGGGCATAGTTCATCACCAGTGGCACTTTTTAATGGCAGTCTCTCTCGACTCTCTTAATACCAACACGGCGGAGGGGGATAAGATTCCGAAACAAATTCAGGGTGAATTATATAGCTGTCCCTCTCTGGCCCTCCGGACCTCTTAAAATGGCTTGTGTCCCACCTGCAAGGAGAGAAGGAGAGTTAGTTCACGCAGCAGAACCCACCAGGACTGCTCTGCCAAGCATCCATTGTGCCAGAGAGTCTTCCAAGGCGCCCGCCGTTCCCTGCGGATGGCTGGCAGCGCTGGACCTGCGATGCGAACAGGTGGGCAGGGGGCAGTTAGAGAAGGCGGCTGCTAGTCCTGCGAGACGCCCTTGTTTCCCCGTCTAGAAAGGACGCCGTGAACAAGCTTGCCAAGGTTAGTCATCAGGCCAGAGGAGAAAAGGGGGTATGATTTCTCCCGCTGAAACGCTTGGCTGGAGAAAAGTGAAGAATAGCCGGTGAAGGGCTGGCATTAGTGGTTCCATCCATCCCTTTCCTCACATTTCTATTTTAGTTTTTTTTTTTTTTTAGTTTTTTTACCCCCCCTTTTTTTTTGTTTAAAAAT